GTCTTAGAACTTTTAGTAAGTAATCTAGCTAGGTATGTGTTAGATTATGATTTCTTTAAATGGCTGAGAAAAGAATTGTGCTGAATAGAATAACTATTTCTGTCTGTGTATCTTTTTTGTAACTTAAGGTTTTGCCTAGAGGGGTTCTCTATGTTTTTGAATCTAATTACCCTGTAAGATATCTACCATCCTGATTTTACAGGGGGGATTTCTTTATTTCTATTTACTTCTATTTTTATTAAAAGTCGTCTTGTAGAAAACTGAATGCTTTTTCATTGTTCTCAGATCCAAGGGTTTGGGTCTGTGGTCACCTATGCAAATTGGTGAGGCTTTTTATCCAACATTTCCCAGGAAAGGGGGGGTGCAAGTGTTGGGAGGATTGTTCATTGTTCTTAAAATCCAAGGGTCTGGGTCTGTAGTCACCTAGGCAAATTGGTGAGGCTTTTTACCAAACCTTGTCCAGGAAGTGGGGTGCAAGGTTTTGGGAAGTATTTTGGGGGGAAAGACGCGTCCAAACAGCTCTTCCCCAGTAACCAGTATTAGTTTGGTGGTGGTAGCGGCCAATCCAAGGACGACAGGTGGAATATTTTGTACCTTGGGGAAGTTTTGACCTAAGCTGGTAAAGATAAGCTTAGGAGGTTTTTCATGCAGGTCCCCACATCTGTACCCTAGAGTTCAGAGTGGGGGAGGAACCTTGACAACATGTAACAAGAGTTTTTATGCTGTCAGAGTCTAGACTCTTCTGTAGCTCTTGTTAGAACAGTCAAATGTGCATCTGTTATCTTCATCCATTTATTCTCCCTCTGCACAGAATTGCAAACCTAATACCATAGGAAGGTGTGTATGTTTGTACTGTGCCTAGCACAATGGGATCCTGGTCCATGACTGGACTGATTATAATATAAATAGTAGTAATGTGTATCCAGTATTAGTTAAATAAATGTTCTTGGAATGTATTAAAGGCGGGCCTGTTAAAATCGCCTTTTATTAAGGTTGCCTGACTCTTTCCATTATACTAGCTTGTTTTCAGTTGCTTAGAACTTTGCCAAACTTTACCCATTTGGACTGAAATTTTCCATGCCGGGTGTCTGCCTCAGGCTGAATGTGTTTTGAAAAATGTCAGCCAGAATTGTTCAGCCAGTTTTGAGAACAAGGCTGGTGGGACAAGACGTTCTGCGTATTTTCAAAAATTTTGGTGGTTTGTTTTTTTTAAAAACTGTATTAGGCCTGTCCTGCTCCCTGTCTCCATGCTTTGGAGCAAGGACTTGAACTTTGACAGGGGTTTGGCCTTTGTGTCAGGGATGTGCCTTTTGCTATCCCTGTGAAAATCCACGCAAATTTGGCCAAGTTATAAGTCTTTGAAAACAGCTGAGTCCACACATGCTCGGTAGAGACTTGGATTTTAGTATTCAGATTCCTTGAAGATTCCATCTATTCTGAGCAGGTTCCAGTTTGGGCTGAGCAGGATTGTCCCTGAGGTTGCAGCTCTGGGCTGCTGAGAGCTGTGCCAGGTCCAGATCCCCCTGGAATTGAAAGTAGGGTGTTTGAGAGCCCAGGAGAGTCCATGCCTCCTGCTGTAAGGAAGATAAATATTTATTTGGAAACAGAGCCAAAGAGCCCTCAAATACTCTACGAAATTACTTTTGCCCTTTAGGTTGTTCGGGGAGGAAAACACACACACCCCTTCAAATTAATAAACAAGCAAACTTAGTCAACTAACTTCTCACTATGGGTAATTATTTAAACTTTTACTAAACTAAGACCACACAATACAAATTATCACATCAAGGTCACAGTTGGAATGAAGCACCTTAACAATGATATGGAATGGAATCACCAATTGATTATAGTAGCAAATGAACACTGCCAGTAATCAAATCATAAAATTAAGACAACAGGTCAATTATTTCAAATACTAAATGCTGGAAGCTTAAGAAGGTGGTGTTTCCTTCTCCGTCCTTGATGTGCCTCCTCAACCCGGTGGGAAACTTCATGAGACTTTGGCAATTGGGCTGGCCCCAGCTGAATAGGAGAGGGGAACATATGTCCATCCCCTTTAGAGTCTCTAAGCACTCAGGGGCTCGTTTAGGATGAAGGGAGCTGGCTGGTCCCTCACCTCCCCTTTCATTAATTTAAACCCTGGCTCAGGCCATGTGGATCTGCTTTTTGAACTGATCTGCAACTCTCCATTCCCCTCTTAGTGTAGAGCGGTGCATACAGACACAAACCAGGTAACAAAATGGTTTAAGGGAGGACTCACTTAGCATGTTGGTTGGGAAATGATTCATGGCATATACTGTTACTTACGCTTTTGCTTACATGTGCACAGTTTGTACACATGCACACCATACACCCTTTAAAAGGGTTAGAGAAAAATCAGAAATATTGCATGGAGACACCTGCCAATAACAAAATAGGGTGGGGGGGAGAAGAAAGTTTCTTAATAAAAGAAAAAGATATGCTCTTCAGCTTTCGTGGCCTTCAGAGCATCAGCACAGAGCTGCAGGTCAGGGGAACAGATGATATCTCTGGTTGGTATCTCATGCTGACCGGTGGGCTTTCTCTGTGCTAGTCAAGCTGGCGTAACCAGTGGTGGTCTTAGTCTCCTCCTCGTTAGAGCTTGCCTACAGAAAGCAAAGGCATCAGCCCTTCCTGACATTGTGGTGGAGTAGGAGGAACATGCCATTCTCCACATCTACCTTGATCCTTATGGTGGTGATTTTTAGCTTGTCCGAACTTATAGCACCTCCCTGGAGCCAATCAGGGGACCACAAATCTAATAACCCAGAAACATGGTCCTCTCCCAGTCACGGATGGACAAGCTTGGCTCTTGGTCAGTTTGGAAAGTTCCTCCTTTAACTGGAAGTTCTCTTCTAATAACCGGTGTTAGACTAGACCACAAGCGTAGGCTACTCCAAAAATGTGATAAGCAGGAGATTGCTTCATGGAAGTATCTCAGCCCCCTCTGCTCCTCTGGTGGGGGTAACAGTTGGGAGTGCACATGGCCCTGAATTTACTAGGGCCTTGACACATTCTTATATGTGACTTATGACCTAGTGGTGACTGCCATTGCTTTTCACCCACTCATATTCCCACTTAGCCTTTCTTAAAATACTCCTAGAGGTCCCTTTTCAACTGCCCTTTGCCCTTTTTACCAGCAAAAAATTAGGGAACAAGTTGTTAATGGCTTAATTAGGTGAAGGGTCACCTTCCTCTTTGCATCAAGGCTGAGAGACAGTGGCCTTAGAGCCTGTTAATAACAGATCCTACTTAAACTACAAAGAATTAAAGTTTATACCTACTAAAGAAAAATAAATGCTGAGCACTCACAGCTGCAATTGAAGTCAGTGGGAGCTGTGCTTTTAACAAAGTGCTATATAATACTAAGTATGCTGAAAAATCAGGTCATAGGTATCTTAAATTGGACACCCAAAATTGGTGGATCATTTTGACCTTACTCTCTGTGCCTCAGTTTCCCATTAGTAAAATAGGGATAATAATAGCTCCTCATCTCAAAGGAGTGTTGTGAAAATACATTAATTGATGTTTATGAAGCAGTCAGATACTAGAGCAATACATTTCACAAAAAAGCCTATGAGGCAATGAATAATTAGAGCTGACTAGAGGATGACCATTCAGTTTCAAGACAACCTTCAAGGTTTCACAATTTGTTTTCATTCTGCATTGGAACAAAACCAGAACCTTTCAACCACTTTCACAAACCAAAACTGTGTTCAAACAGCCATTTTTTGGATAGAAAAGATCAGGAATGCTTCTCGGTGGAAGTGACCAGAAAGACCATCCTGGACCTCAAAAATCTTCCTATCAAAAACTTAGTCAAAATCAGTACATCCCTGCAAAATGTTTCAGCTTTGATGGACCCAGATATTTTGACAAACATTTCATTGAGAGAAGAACAGGAGTATTTGTGGCACCTTAGAAACGAACAAATTTATTAGAGCATAAGCTTTCATGGGCTCTAATAAATTTGTTCGTCTCTAAGGTGCCACAAGTACTCCTGTTCTTTTTGAGGATACAGACTAACATGGCTGCTACTCCGAAACATTTCATTGAAAGTGTTTTGATCAGCTCTATTAATAATTCTGTCTTTGGAGCAGGGTTTGAACAGAGTGTAGTGGGATCTCCCATTGAACAATGAGGAAGACACAAAATATTGAAGAGCTTTTCATTAAATGAGTGCCATCCATTTTGTGCACTGGCTGAGGTCTTGTGGGGAAAAAATAGAATGTGATAAAGTAATTTAAGACAATAGCATATGCATATGACAAAGGAAAAACAGGCAAGCTTAATTCTGGCATTTCCTAACTTGTGAATGCTTGACTTGGCAACCTTAATGCTTTTTTAGCAAAGATTTCTTTTGTGAATAACATGTAGTAACTTAGCTGATTTCTTATTCCTCATGTGTCATAAATCACCAAATCCCTATATCTTGTATTCAACCCTGGACAGCACTTATGTAGCATCAATACAATATTTATAATCTTTATTTACACTCTGAGAATTGACATTTAGTGTTCTAAAGTGCTGCCATCACAACGCTTCATTACACTGTGAAATTTCATTAGTGGGATTGTTACTGGAATTCAACCAGCCTTCAGTTTACAATGGCATCTTGGCCACTGAAGCATTTGATCTGTAAATAACTCCTATAATTTATATCTGGTAATGCCTGGCTTTTGCTGGGAATAGCAAATGGGATTAGATGGATAATTTTAAAATGAAAGTTCAGGAAGAAAATGCTCCTCCCTCATCAATCTCTTATAATTAATAAATTATGTTCAGGTAATTTCATGTTTTCAGGTTTGCGTATAATGAGGGCCACATGGTTAGGCAAACCTAAATGGCACGAGCAAATACGTAATTGTAAAATCCTGACTTGCATCACCCATGGACTTGCTTACCTTTGGAAATTAGTCCTTTAGTGCACAAGGTCACCTTTGACTTGGAGTGGAAGTGAACTGTGTCCTTTCTCTTTACAGGTGAGCTACCAAGCTGGCTGCAGGGGATTCTTCTTCGCAATGGTCCAGGCATGCACACAGTGGGGGAAACCCACTATAATCATTGGTTTGATGGCTTGGCTCTGATGCACAGTTTTACATTTAAAAATGGTAGGTTGCAGCCTTATAGCGCGAGCAGCCTTATAGCGCGAGCACCCAAACCAAGTCTTGGTCTCTAAACAGGAGTGTGAGGTTTTATAAATGTGAGTGGAGTCTGCTTACAATACTCGTATATTGAATTGTTTCAGATGCTTAGCTAAAGGTCCTGTCGGACATACGGCTGGTTAGGAGTCCTGCAAAACATCAGACTAACAAGGGCTTGTGTAGCTAGTGAGCATCAAATGAAGGGAAGGACAGTCAATGCAGTCTTACAGACACAGCTGCCAAAGAGAGAACAGGTGCTGGTCTTGCCCTTCTCAGTGTGACTTTCCTTCTCTGAGGTGGAAATGCTGTGCTCACCTCAGAAGGGGAATGTGCAAAGGTGGCTTAAAGTCAGCCTTGCATGTTCCCCTGATCCTGGGGCTTCTGTGCTGGATCAGTCTTTCTAAAGGCTGCTCTAATTTGCACCAGCTACCATTGGCCCCAAAAAGCCATTCGAGAACCTTAGGATTGCTGGGCAGCAGGAATGCCCAGCCATGCCCTTTTCTTCCAGCTACAGCCCTTCTCTGGCTGCAGGGAAAGGGGTGCCTAGGAGCTGTTGTAGTGGCTCAGTGGCACAAGATGATCCCCCCCTTACACTGGGGTGACCCTCCCTGGGATAGCTAAACTGGCTTTAGGTCAGATTTATGCTGGTGGCATGAGACAAACCTGCCCTAATGCAGAGAAAAAGCTGGCTCATAGTAACTCATTGAAATATTTTAAAAATGTAAATCAATTATGTTTTCCTCAAGGATGTTAGTACCCATTAAAGGGCCAGGTCTTTTGACCCTTCCTGAGGTTGACTTCAATGGGAGCTGGGGCGTCTGAGGCTCTCTCAGGCTTGTGCTGTGGGTACTAAGCGTAGAGCTGTGCAATACAGAATATTTACACTGGGGTAAAATCCTGGCTCCACTGAAGCCAATGGCGAATCTCCCACTGATTTCAGTGGGATCAAGATTTCACTCTAGGCCAGGATTTCTGGTTGACTGATCTAGATACCATGGTTTTGAGTAGACATTAAAGTAAAGAGAAAAGGCGGACTTGTGGCACCTTAGAGACTAACCAATTTATTTGAGCATAAGCTTTCGTGAGCTACAGCTCACTTCATCGGATGCGTACTGTGGAAACTGCAGAAGACATTATATACACCGAGACCATGAAACAATACACATAAGATGAGCTATTACCAGCAGGACTGTGGGGTGGGGGGGAGATAAACCTTTTGAAGTGATAATCAAGGTGGGCCATTTCCAGCACATTTCCAGGAGTTAACAAGAACGTCTGAGGAACAGTGGGGGGCAGGGGGGAAGAGGAATAAACAAGGGGAAATAGTTTTACTTAGTATAATGACTCAACCACGCCCAATCTCTATTCAAGCCTATGTTAATTGTATCCAATTTGCAAATTAATTCCAATTCAGCAGTCTCTCGTTGGAGTCTGTTTTTGGAGTTTTTTTGTTGAAGGATAGTCACTTTGAGATCAGAAATCGAGTGACCAGAGTGATTGAAGTGTTCTCCAACTGGTTTATGAACGTTATAATTCTTGACATCTGATTTGTGTCCATTTATTCTTTTACGTAGAGACTGTCCAGTTTGACCAATGTACATGGCAGAGGGGCATTGCTGGCACATGATGGCATATATCACATTGGTGGATGTGCAGGTGAACGAGCCTCTGATAGTGTGGCTGATGTGATTAGGCCCTATGATGGTGTCCCCTGAATAGATATGTGGACACAGTTGGCAACTAACAGACTAACACGGCTGCTACTCTGAAACCTGTCATTAAAGTAAAGGATTAAGAAATGCAGCTCACAATAGGAGTTGTATTTCCATTTACAATTTCCATTCTGCAGCTGTTTGGAAGCACGTAGCAGCTTTTGCCTCCACCACAGCTGAAGGTAACCATGGCGCATCCAGGAGGTATAGAGACTTTGCTACTATGCTTCCTTCCAGAGCCACAGCACCTGCATGATTCCAAACTGAATCAGCTAATAGTACCATCATGTACAGAGGTTTCCTGGACATGGGCAAACAGCCTATTTACATTATGGGTTAAACGCCCTTCTTAGGGTTTGAACCTAGTTAAGACAGCAGCCAAGAGTGAAACTAGGCCACTGTGCCACTTAGCTTGCAAATCAGGTCTCATGTATATTTAATGTGCTTATATAAACAATACTTAAATGAATGTCCAAATCCTACTTACTACCCTCAGGCAAGGTGCTGGAAATGATCAGAAGCAATATTTCCTCTGTCCATATTCTTTTTAATCTGAACCTGACCGTAAAATATGGAAATAGAATATTATTTCATCTGCTTTAGAATATAATGGGGGCTGTTTTTCATTGTGCTTATTTGCTGCACAATATACTAGCTTTGTAGGAGAATTGGGTTCCCTGCCCCCATTTCTTTTTTATTTTCCATTGCTGTGTTGGGATGAGAGATTCCAGAAACACATTTCCTGTCTGCCTGCCCAGTTCAGTGCCTGTTAAGAATGCAGCCATAAACAGAAATGGCCAGACATTGAAACCGCCAGTTTATTGCACCATCTAAAGCAAAGGGAGCTGTGTTTGTTCAGACACACAAGCCCATATGCCTGAAGTGGCTTACTCTATACAGGCATTCCTTCAGGCCTAGAAGAGTGCTGTTTTTTTTACAAATACTGGAGACTGAAATTTGCCAAGAAAATCAATTTCCACCACCCCTCCCCCATTGCCTGGGGATACATACTGTTCTCCTGATGGAGGAACCATGGGCTGGTGATTAAAGCACAGAAATAAGAGTTCTGGGATCTGGGTTCTGTGTGTGACTCTCCCACAGACTTATGTGATGACTGGCAAGTCACTTCACCTCTCTGTGATAGCTCCTAGTGTATAAAATGAGAATAATCCTTCCCTACTTCACAAGGGTCTGTGAGGCGTAATTCATTGTTTACAGGTGTTCAAATATGTTAGTGATGAGTATCATAAACATGCCCATGAACAGCTGCCTGCAAGTATTCCAGCTCTAGAGAGGAGGTTTTTAGGAATGTAACAAAGGGTTATTCTGGACTAGGGGTGGATTAGATGACCTAATAGGACTCTTCCTGCTCTGTAATCATCATCAGAGAAATTACAGATTCTTCTTGGGGACTGTTTTAGTGACAGCATCATTGAGAGTTTAAAGAAACTGCCTTTAAAGCTTAAGTGGTCAAATTTAGTAAAGTGGGATTTTTAAAAAGGAAAAAGCCATGTTGTCTTTCATAAATTTAGAACTCCCTCAATGTTTGTTTTAACAATTCCTTAGGAACTTGAAACTTACAATTTATTCTTCCCGCTCCATCATGTAGATAGTTAATGTAGAGTTGCTTTCGAGTGCTGGCATTTTTAGTTTAAAACCACCTTCTCAACATCCGATACACAAAATATTGCCTAAACATTTTGTGAACCAAGGAAAATGGGTAAGTCAAAATTTGGGCTATCAATGTTGACAGCCCATAAGTATAAACAATGGGAATAAAGTACAGACAGCCCCATTTTCCCCTGAAATTTTTTCAGAGACCCAGAACACCACCTGAAAAATTAGGGGTTGAAAGCAATCCATAGTCTGCTTAACTGGAGGCCAACCAGATGAGGTTCTGCTGTAATTTCTTTATCTGACAGGTGTTCTATATTCATTTTCTAAGGAAAATAAATATCTTCTGAGGATGCATGTAATACAAAGATTTTGTTTGCCCTTTGTCAGGCGAAGTTTACTACAGAAGTAAATACCTCCGCAGTGACGCATACAATTGTAATATAGAAGCAAACAGAATTGTGGTGTCAGAGTTTGGAACTATGGCTTATCCAGATCCATGCAAAAACCTATTTGCCAAGTAAGCAATGTTTTTCTAACGAGGTTCTGCTATCTATTTCTCCAACACAACTGCTTTTCAATTTCCCCTCTGCATATACAAAATAAGCCCCAATGTTTGTATGTAAGTTTAGAATTGACACACCATTGGCAAGGCCAGGGATCTAATTCCCAGTCTTTCTATACATTTTAAAAAAAATTAATACTTGCTTATAGAAATCAAAGGATTTATTGGCACATTGCAAGTAACAACTACAAATTTAAGTCCTGCCTCTGTGTGCTGGAGTTATTACTTGCAGTACTCCAATAAATCTTTTGATTTCTTTAAGCAAGAATTACAGAAAACAATCAAGCAGTTTATGCCCAAAGTCTTTATTTTAACGCTGTGGTGATACGATAGGGAATATTATTGGGAATAAAAACGTATTGTCAGAGGAAGTATTAATCCACCACTTTCTTACCAAAGCCTATTGAAAAAGTTATCAATATCTATGACCTACTGGGCCAGACTTTCAAAATGTGATCTCTAACTGCATGCAGAAGCATGCACGCACACACACGATAGTGTCTACTCCCATTCAAGGCAATGGTTGTTTTGCCATTGATTCCAATAGGAGCAGGATGGGCCAGATATTAGATGAACTGTTTGTGCATGTAAAAGCAGCAGTTGTGTGTGTCCACACTTCCAGATTGGGTTAAGACTGTTGCTGTAGGACTAGCCAGCAGAGAGAGTACAAATTCAATAATAAACCCACTTCCAATGATTGTGCCGCATAGAGGTCACATCCTGCTCTCCAATAGCAGGCACAACTTCCAGTTCTAGGTGTGGCTCACGGGGGGGATAACACTAAACAAGTAACAAACAGAGCCATGATCACGTCTGTCCCATTTGAGAGCGAAAGCAACTTCTCAAAGATTAATGTATTTATATAACATTTTCATCCCCACAGAGCATTCTGCTACTTGTCCCACACCATTCCTGAGTTCACAGACAACTGCCTGATCAATATTATGAAAACTGGTGAGGATTATTATGCTACAAGCGAGACTAACTTCATTAGGAAAATTAATCCTCACACCCTGGAGACATTAGAGAAGGTAAAGCATCCATGTTGGATACCATGTTTTATCTGCTAATGAATACAGTGTCATGCTGACCTTTACAGCCTGGGGTGTCAGGTTAAAGGCGGCCAAATTTGACATAAGTAAATGTGAAAAGATGTTTTTTTAGCCAGTGCTTCCTGTGTCAGAATAGGCCATTTGGGAGCCATGGAGATTGGGGTGGTTGTTGTTGCCAACTTACAATGTCAGTTATTTTAACTTACAATATTTTATTCTTCATTTCTTTCAAACTACAAAATTCCCGGTGTCTTAGGGTAAGTATTGGCTTTTGCAGTTTTAACTTGTGCATAATCCTACTTGGCTGTAGGCATAATGTCAGGTCTTGTGTTTATGGCATCTGATTATTTTTGGTTGATTAATGATCCTACTAGCTATCCCCCCTATTATGCAACAATTTATATGATGTGTAATTAATTCTCTAGGCCAGTTATATCACAACTTTCTCAGTCATTAGACCATCTGAATTTCCTTATGCAACACATTTCTTTAATTTTCTAAAAAAGTGAGTCTAGATACATTAAGACATGTTTTTAGTTAACCTTTTCTACTATGTATAACCTCCCAGTCCCTATCCCCAGCTATAATACGGTTTATCGACTTTAAATAACTTAGAAATCTTTTTGCTTATGAAAGCTGCTGGTTTAACAGCCTTGCTGTGTGAAGCCCATTCAGTAAGGGATTGGCAATGGCAATTACCTTTGGTTACACAAACCTTCTTCCCATGTGCCTCACCCTGGAGGTGACCTTTAGGATTAAATGCTCAGCATCCATGACCCATTCAAGCCCAGAATAAGGAAATCCTTTTAGCACATGCTTAAGTCCCACTGAGTTCAATGTTTTTAACTTCAAGACTTAAAAATTAAAATTGTTTCCTGAATTGGAAGGCTTTCCTGAAACAGGGCCTGAGTCTTTGGTCTCGTGCTGGGGTTGCCAGTGGAAAGGCCACTAGTGCCAAAGGTAGAGAGAGTTTTTGTGATATAGGTTAAGTAATTTCACGTACTCTTTATACATCCTTATGCTGTCACTTGGTTAGGTTGACTACAATAAATATGTAGCGGTGAACCTGACGACTTCTCATCCCCATTATGACAGCGCTGGAAATGTTCTCAATATGGGCACCTCTATAGTTGACAAGGGGAAGACAAAATATGTTATATTTAAGATTCCTTCCTCAGTGCCAGGTAAGAGATGGCTTCTGCTAGTGTCCGAGTTCCTTGTTAGTTAGTTGTTTTCTTTTGAGGGTGGAGGGCTGTGCCACAAACGGTCTAGAAACCAACTGAATCACTGTTTGTTTTTTAACATCACTTCTTTGTACAAAGACATTTGACATTTGACTGTTAAGGTGACAGGTGGTAAGTAACTGCATGTAAATTACACTGAAAAAAGACTGATGGGACTCCTGAACTAGCTGCTCGGCCTAGTTGGGTATTTGGTGTTTGAACAGGTTCATCTTTATCACTGTATCCTGTTCATATTTCAGTACCAAAGAATGTCGTTGTTTCAGAAGGATTGGTCCCTACTCCTAGCTTGCCATTCTCTGCATTGTGAGATATGTTAGCGGATGATGCACAGAAAAAAAAATGTATCCAGTATGTAGTATTTGAATTTGTAAAATGTGTCTCTTTATAAATATACTTTCAGGGAAAAGGACAGTGGGTGAAAATGCCTATAAAAGTGGGGACAGACAGTGTTTGGTTAGAGTGAGGCACAATACATGAAACTGTTTCCTCACCAGCTTTGCCAATGCTAGCCCTCACCAAAGCAAAGGCTGTTCATTGGTTTCTTTGCACTCGTGTCGCAGCTCATATAGTTGCTCCCCTTTTCTTCTTTACGATGATCTACTATCTGTGCATTTCTGTTAAATGTAGCAGTGGAGCAGGGCCTGGCTGCTAATGGCCAACACACCAGGACTGAACTTGAGCCTTCCAGAGTGAAAAGAATGAACGGCTACAATTTAAGAGCCAGGCACTATAGGTAGGGTTGTAATAGACTCCAATAATCTGTGGCACACAGGGTGACCAGAAGCATAAGCTCACCAGGAGGTTACACTAGCATGGGGCATACAGTCACTTCTGTACAGCTATCAGTACGTACAGTACTTATCTTCTGTCCCCCTCCATGCTGGAACTTCAGGGGCAGTGGCCTGTGAGTAACTCCCCAGTGGCTGGGAGTAACTGCAAAGGCTCAGGTCCTCTGCATGGATGGCCCTGGTCTTATCTGTGTGAGTTGTTGGCTAGGGGGCCAATTCCCCTGATAATCCTGGAGAAGGGAAGGAACTCTGCCCCTACGAGGAGAATGCAAAGGAATCTGGGTGGCAAATACTATGTACATAATTATAGTTTATCTTTCTAATTTATGTTCAGAGAAAGAAAAGAAGTTGTCCTGTCTCAAACACCTGGAAGTGTTGTGCTCTATCCCTTCCCAGTCTCTCCTTCACCCAAGCTACTATCACAGCTTTGGAGTTACAGAAAATTATATCATCTTCATGGAGCAGCCATTCAAACTGGACATTCTCAAGTTGGCAACTGCCTACTTCAGAGGTGTCAACTGGGCATCCTGCCTTTCCTTCCATAAGGAAGATAAGGTACCTTTCCTACTACGTGCCAAGCAGTGGGGGAAGCCAGGAAAATAACCACAACCACTCTCACTCTATACTATATCTTCCCTGGCTGTAAAAGTTCAGTAACTTCCCATTAGAGGAATGTGTTTTCCCCTCTCTTCCTACATATATTTTCAGTAGCTAGCAGGCTCTTTCCTTAAGACTCCTAAACCACCCCATCTAAAATTCCAGTAAGTAAATCTCTGGTGTCAAGGTACCTGAGAAAAAGGATAGAAATATCCCACACCAGCAGAGAGATTCTGCTCATCTGTCATGTCAAGTAACCACGTACAATCACCTCTAGTTTAAACAACATATTATATAATAGTATACACATTTAGGTCAATAAGTGTAGAAACTTTAGGTGAGATTCCAATCCCCATTCTGGCTCCTTTATGTGAGGCAAGAGGACCAGATTGGCATAAAGGCACTCTAAAAACCCTGGATTCGGCTGAGGGAGAATTCTCCTAATGCAGAAACAGGAGAAGGCAAATGCAGGCTGTCTTCTGAGGATGCCCCTGGTATGCCAGAGTTGGAATCATGGGTGAGAGGGCATGTTGGGCCTCTGAATGTAGCACTGTGGAGATTCCGGTCAGGTGAGGCAGGTGACTGTAATTTAGACACCTCCCAGGGGTCCTAAATTTTTTTTATGGGGGCCACTTCAGCTCCCAGAGAAGCCCTGAATTGGGAGGGTGTAAAGCTGGATTGAGAGCCGCCGCCTCACCCCACCTCCAGCCTGCATGCTCTGTGCTGTGCCTCTTACCCAGAATCTCGCCTCTTAATGGCACAACCTGAGTACTCCAAATCCATCATTATAAATAAACCAAATGTACCATCATTGAGTTAGAAACACTGGTTTGCAATGAAATAACTTTTTTTTAAAAAATTAAGTATTCGCTGCTTATTAAACATTAGTGTGTTTGCCATCTTTCAGACTTGGATTCACCTCATAGACAAACAGACCAAAAAGGATATATCCACCAAGATTTATACAGATGCCATGGTCCTTTTTCACCATGTGAATGCTTATGAGGAGGATGGCCATGTTGTTATTGATGTCATTTCCTATTCAGACAATAGCCTGTATCAAATGTTCTATTTAAAAAACTTGAATGAAGGCTTTGAGGAAAACACCAAACTCACTTCCATACCAGCCTGCAAGCGATTTGTGGTACCTCTGCGGTTTGGCAAGGTAATGTTCAATCTATTGTATTTGAGCAGTAATTTTGAATAACTCACTAAATGAAAAAGCGTATGAAGCATTGGTTTGCCAGGCCACGTCCAAATTCCTGATTTTTTTTTAAATGATAGCCACAAAATTTGGGGAGGTATGTAATTGTTTGTGTGCACAGGGCAATTTATATTTGCACAAGCAATGGGCAGTTACCTGGTGCCAGCTTCTGATTCCTTTGTTCATGGAGACTAGTCAAGTTGAATAGGACCTGTCTCTTCAAAGACAATGAAACTGTTTGTGGGGCAAGGTGCTACCCCACATGAACAGATGTATCAATATGGCTCTTGATTGGCAGGTGCAAGCATGGGTTTTTGCACATACAATCTGATGCACGTTAGTGGAAGCCTATGAAAAATTATTCCCGCCCCCCCCCCACACAAAACCCCCGCAACCTACCCACCAAACTCCTCCCTGAAAAAAAGCTTAGCTGCTTTTCAATAATAATTTTATGAAGATGATGGGATTTTTATTTCAATGAGAGCTTTACTAAAGTGGGGAAAAGGATCAAACCTTTCTGTAGCTTTGAAACAGCTTATCTGTTTAACATCATTGTTTTGTAGGAAAAACTCATATTCTGCTCAGCAACTTGCCAGGCAAGTTTCAGCCTGATTCAGTTTGGAATGGCTGATACTGTCTGCCTTGTTACGCCCTGGAAACTGGGTCTTGTTAATGCCATGAAAACAGTTCTGCAGCAATGCAGGAGGATACATCTGATGCATGGAGAAGAGGTCCATAAATGGCTAATAGCCAAGATGGTCAAGGATAAAACCCTGTGCTTTGGGTGTTCCTAACCTCCCACTGCCAGAAGCTGGGACTGCACAACAAGGGATGGATGACTTGAAATTGCCCTGTTCTGTTAATTTCCTCTGAAGCATGTGGCACCAGCCACTGTCAGAAGACAGGATACTGGGCTAGATGGACTATTGGTCTGACCCAGTATGGCTGTTCTTGCATTCTTATGATGGATCCGCTCAAATTGTCCTGCTTTCCTACCTTGCAATCTAAGAATTCAGCAACATTGTACAGAAAGACACTATACTGAAAAATCTCATTGAACTACTAATATGAACACTCTGTGGCATTTTCATTAAAGTAAATATCAGCGTTAAGCTTTTTAAAAAACACCAAATGGCATCAATGTACATGGTGTCTATTTAACATTGTCTGTTGAGGATAATACATGGGCTAGATATATATACACACACACACACACACACACACACACACATGCGCACGCTTAAAATGAGAAGCCATTACAATTATTTTTTTTATACACTGGGATTTTCAAAGGAGTTGAAGGGATATGAGAGCCCAAGCCCTAATGACTTAGGTGCCTCACTCCCTTAAATGCCTGTGAAAATCCCAGCCTTAAGCCCTAATTTCCAAATAACATGATGAATTTACACTGCTGCTGTGATAAAGCAAAAATACCATCTGGGCTGACACCTTTATCAAGATTGACCTATAGCCGATTTATTAGAATCCCCTGCAAATTAAGGGCTTTTAAATGGAAATGCTCATAGTTTAATAATGCAAGATAAATGCCTCTGAGAAGGCAGCCTTTTGAAGTTGGATCGTCTGGCTTATGCCAAATGGAACCTAATAGCAATTTACATACAGTAAAATCAACCTTGATGAAGGTCCTAAATTAGAAATATGTCCTTTGAAATGTCTTGTTGTTTTTAGCATCTCTCTCTTGCAGGATGCAGAAGTAGGTACTAATTTAGTCAAACTTCCATCAACTACTGCAACTGCTCTGAAAGAAAAAGATGGAAACATCTATTGTCAGCCTGAAATGTTATGTGAGGGTGAGATGTGTTCATTAAAAATCTTCCATTGTATTTTCTCAAATGTAGGTGCATTATAATAACAGACTAGTGTGATATCGAGGGTGTTCGAAGTGGGGGTGTTGGAGATGCGGCAGCACCCCATGGCTTGAAGTGGTTTCCATCAAATACAGGGATTACAGTTTGGTTCAATGGCTTTCAGCACCCCACTATAAAAAATTGTCCCAGCATCCTGCTTGTATCTCTTAAATACTTCTATATAATCTAGCCCTGATCTAGCAGTCAGGTCCTGGAGGTGAACAGTGGGGTTCTGCATGGCCACATGGGTTCACCTCAGTGACCTAACTACTAGATCCAGGCTAAATGAAGAATTAATGCAAGTCTAATAGGAATAGCTGTTCAAGGAATAGTAGATTATGAATGCTCAAAATATCATGACATTAAGGTTACAGGTCAGATTTGAGATCATAGGATCTAAATATGCAAGATTATCTATATGCATACATTTATCTATTTTTACTTTGGGGAAGAGATCTCCAATTACACCTCACAGGTAAACACACTATATTACTATGTATTTATGGAAAAATGAAAGGTAACTGAATAGTAAGGCTATAAATACATTGGGGGATTATGAGGCTGAGGCTAAACCATGAGAGTGAAATGTTAGTGGTTTATGAATTTGTATCACCTATATACTTGTTCAGCTTTCAGTTTTTTAAAAATATATCCATATATCTGTACATAAAGTCTAAGCAAAACTTAACTTAGACCGTGCCAAGGCATATAAATTGCAGAGGTTAAGTGAAGATCTTGACGATATTTACTACTTTTTTTTTAACATGTCTTACAGAGAGGGATAGCTCAGTGGTTTGAGCATTGGCCTGCTAAACCCAGGGTTGTGAATTCAATCCTTGAGGGGGGGCCATTTAGGGATCTGGGGCAAAAATTGGGGTTTGGCCCTGCTTTGAGCAGGGGGCTGGATTAGATGACCTCCTGAGGTCCCTTCCAACCCTGATATTCTATGATTCTGGGTACAGTTGTGCTATTTTTCTTCCTTGTTATCAGTATGTATGTTTCACTTTACCTGTAGGAATAGAGCTGCCTCGCATCAACTATGATTATAACGGCAAAAAATACAGATATTTCTATGCAACAGAAGTTCGGTGGAGTCCAGTTCCCACAAAGGTATAATATAACACTGATTGCATATTGCATGACTGTATTCATATAACCCAAATCAAATTAAACTGTGTTCAAATACTGAAGGCAGTTTATTTCACTAGCTAACCTACATGGTCCAAATTATGCCCTGACCTACATCCATACAACCATAGTGAAGCTGCCTGGTTGTGAGGTCAGAACTGGAACACTACTAACCTGTGGTTCTGCTCTGTACTGTGAATGTTCCAAACATAAAAAATCCACATTTCTTAAACAAGTAAGTCGCAACAATATGTTTACGTATCAAATTTACAAACTCCGGCACTTAAAAGCAAAAGGATGAAAAGTTAAGGACATAAGTCCTACATTGCCCACATGACAAAAATAAAACCAATTGGGCCAGATTCTCAGCTGCTGTAAATCCGCATAGCTTCATTATGGAGCTATGTCCACTTAACACCAGCTGAGAATACGGATGGTTGTTATTACCACAAACAGAGATGCCTATTTCATCACCACGCACCCTTCACTCTGACCCTCTGATGTTTTCAGGAAGCTTTAACTTATGTTGCAGCACCAGCCCTAGACTGGAAGAGCCCCAGCCCCACACTCCTCCATGATACCAATTTTTAAAGAGAGACTTCTTAGGACACAAGTACACTGTAAGCTAGAAAATCCTGTTAACTGAGGGTAGGAGAAAGTTCTGTAGACAAGCTGGCTCTTGATGCTTGTTGCTCATTCAGCACAATCTATCCTAAAACCTACACTGAGAATATAAGGCCAAGCAGATAGAGCTCACTATTTGTTCCTGTTTTTAATTATCCCAGCTGATTACAAAATAAAGTTGGATATGTAATATTATATAGTCGATGATGCAATAAAATGTTTGTCAGCATATCTGGTACTAACTCAAACAAATCAGCAATTTTGTGATTTCTAACAAAGATAATCATCCTTTACAGATTACTTAAATACAACCATAGTTGTTGAGTTAGAATTTGTTTTGGTGGGTTTTTTTTTTACATTGCCTAATCCTTTGGGCATCTGTGATATGCAGTAGATGCAATGGAGACATCTGATATCGTTTTGTATATTTTCTCTTATAATTTATTTAAATACCTTTTAAGTTCTAAGTCAGGGATCTCTTCAGATTTGCGGTTCAGAAGGGGAACAGTGATTTACCTTTAGCAATGCAGATGCAAACAGAAGATAACGGAGCTGAATGTGAAATAGTAACTCTGTCATACTGGGCGTTGGGTGAGATGTGGAGATATTTACAGTACATGGGTGAAATCCTGGCCCCATTGGTTTACTAGCTACTTAACCATCACAATGAACTGACTTTGTTTTTTGCAGTGTGGTTGTAGTTGTGTTGATTACACAACATTAGAGAGGCAAGGTGAGTGAGGTAATATCTTTCATTGGACCAACCTCTGGTGGTGAAAGAGACAAGCTTTCAAGCTGACAATGCGTTCTTCTGCTTTATGTAAGCACAAAAGCTTGTCTTTCACCAACAGACACTGGTCCAATAAAAGATATTACCTCACTCACCTTGTCTCTTTGATATTGTTTTAATATTTGTTCTGTTTAACTACTTAAGGTTTTTTACCTCGGTGAAGACTGAGGTCACACCAAAAAGAAAAATGATTGAACCACAGGACTAAGGATCAGGAGGTTCTGAATTCTGTTCCTTGCTTTGCTATAAACTTCCTGTGCGACCTTGCACAGGTCACTTAAACTTTGTGTCTCTGGCTCATGTTCTGTAAAATGGGGATAATTGACTCACCTGACACAGAGATGTCATCTGGCTTAAATAACTAACTAATATTTGTGAAATGCTTTGAGATCCTTGGTTGACAGGTATAGTTGTAATGTAGTAAAACAGTATCAATTTCTGCTCTAAAGTGAAATTGTCTCCTATTAAATACAAAGATTCTGTGGCTATACAGCACTAAACCTGACTGAGGAGCCTAAAGTTTTCCAAATATTTCATCCGTGGCATGCTGGAGAAATTATATCTCATTGCTTCCTGACTTGCAGTACTGATCCCATCTTTTTACCCAGCCACCCTGTTGTACGGTACACAGAACGATTGTGAAATTAAGAGCTAGAATGGAGATTGAAGAATTATTTTTGTCTTAATAATTTAGATAACAAAATGTGATGTTCTGACAAAGAAAAAGCTCAGCTGGGAGGAGGAGCACTGCTGGCCAGCCGAGCCTGTCTTTGTTCCCAGTCCTGATTTAAAAGAAGAAGATGATGGTAAGAAGACTGCTCTTCTGATAAATTGGGGATAAACATATATATAAGTATGTAGAGCCCTTCGCTGTCAAGATGACTTGCAATGAAGAATCAGAAATTTTAACTGTTTTATTGTCAATGACCTTTAATATGAAATCTCTTACCCTGTGGCACCATTGCTCAGTGAAAGTAAAATTAGCCCCAGTCATTGTGCTCCTGCAAACAAAGATGTCTGCTACTTCTTCTCCCTCGCTCTGTAGCCCATGGAGATGGAGGTCCTTAACTTCTTTCACCATCTGCCCTAACCTCTTTCTCTCAATGGCATATTTTCCCCATTAATGGTAATTTTTTCTGTTAATGGTAATTCACATTAGGCGCTCTTAGATTTTTCTCAGTATTATTCTTCCATCTTCTCCTTGGTGAGCCATGAGGTCAAAGACCGTAAGGTTATCCTTCCAAGATATGCTTCGCTCAGAACCTTCCTCACCTAGTGTCCCATTACCAGCCATTGGCGATATTTGCTGCTAGCAGTTGCAGATCGGCATTATGCCATTGTGGGCAGTCCTGTCATACCAGCCTCTCCATAAACTCGTCAAGGTCAGTCTTGAAGCCAGTTAGGTTTTTTGCCCACCACTGCTCCCCAGGGAGGCTGCTCCAGGACTTCACTCCTCTGGTTAGAAATCTTCACCTAATTTCAAGCCTAAACTTGTTGATGGCCAGTTACGTCCATTTGTTCTAGGATCCACATTGGTGCTTAACTTAAATAACTCCTCTCCCTTCCTGGTATTTATCCCTCTGATGTATTTATAGAGAGCAGTCCTATCTCCCCTCAACCTTATTTTGGTTAGGCTAAACAAGCCCAGCTCCTTGAGGCTCCTCTCATAAGGTGGGTTTTCCATTCTGAGGATCATGCTAGTACCAGCTGTACCATCCTAATAATTTTGTCAGGGATTTTTTCCTTGAGGCCCAGAGGCCATCTTGTGATTATACAATCATGTGCTTTCCTATAAGGTCTATAAAAACTATGTATGTATTGTGATAAACTCAGGACAAATTACTGCAAAGGGGGGGTGGTGGTAGAAAGCAGTCCCAGAAGATTAAAAGGTCCTCCTCCCTATCAACTGGGGAGGAGTGACTACAGGTCAATCAGGTTCAGCTGAAAAGGGGTTACCAGAGAATAATTAGGATCAGCTGAGAGGGAGTTACCTGAGGTCAGTTAGGATCAGCTGATTCCAACTAAGGGCTGTGTGAAACCTTTTTAAACCCTCCCCTTTGGGGGGAGAGAGAAAAAAGCTACCAGTAGGGGAGGAGGAGCAATCCTCTCCAGGAAGAGAGGCTGCATTCCCTCCCATAAGGGAGAAAAACAAGCACAAAACACTGGCTGAGAGAAGGATGGACTGCCCCTGTGCAGTCAAGAGGGAATGTTTTACCCCAACCAAGAAGGTGCCTTGCCACAATATTTTGATCATATTCCCATTTTTTCCTCGAGTAGTGTATGAATTGAAAATATTTGATCCACAATGAACCTGTTTTTCCAGAATCCACACTGATCATCTCCTACTATTTCCTCTCTTGAAGCAATAAGTCTATGTAAGAGTATCCAAAATAAGATTTTTATAGGCTGTAATGAGGAAGAAGATGACATGCTAGTTCTTACATTTCATTGTGTCACCCTTCCTCAAAGTTGGGCATATGACTGCTTCCTTCCACTCCTGCAAAGGAACAATGGCCCAAAATCAGCTCATGTGTATGCTCCCAAGCTAGACTTTAAAAACAACTGGATTTTTCATGTAGCCCAGTGGAGCCATCTTTTATCAGGTTGGCATCAAAGAATTCTTCAAAACTGCTAGACTGAATGGTCTGAAGCTTGAAGCTGTCTAACTACAGACCAGGTCCAACAGATGCAGTAGTATTGCAAGCTCCCACATCATCTCCTGCCAGTGCTATTCTGGAGGAACCACAGGGGTGGGTGGGGAGTACAGTCGGACCCATTCAAGTCCCTAGCCTCACAGCTGAGATGCTCAACAATGTTACCAGTTGTGATGTGTAATTGAGACTATTGCTTCAGTGTCTTTTCTTTGTGGCATACACCAGGCAGACCAGCAACAAGATGGAGGCATTCATTAGTTGTTTTGTTTTAGCATTCTTAGGGCTTGTCTACATTACCCACTGGATCAACAGGCAGCAATCGATCCAGCGGGGGTCAATTTATTGTGTCTAGTCTAGACATGATATATCGACTGCCGAGTGCTCTCCTGTCTACTCCGGTACTCCCCCAGGGTGAGAGGCATAGGCAGAGTTGACAGGAGAGCGTCAGCTGTTGACTTACTGCAGTGAAGACACTGCAGTAAGTAGATCTAAGTACGTTGACTTCAGCTACATTATTCATGGCAATAATAGATCGATTTCCCCGCCCAGCGTAGACCAGGCCTCAGAGTTTTTGATCCACAAAGCAGTTTTCATTGCTGTCCTTTGTTATCCAGACTTATCAGTTGATGATGTTGCCTTTTCTATTTGGGAAAGCAAGTCTGTCTGTCTGTCTCTTTTTAAATACATTCCTTATTTATACTTTTTTTAGGTCTTATTTTATCCTCCATTGTGACATCAGATCCCAGGAAAGCACCCTTCCTGCTCGTCTTGGATGCTAAAACATTCACAGAGATGGCTCGGGCCACAGTTAATGTAAACTTGCATCTGGACCTGCATGGACTCTTCATACCAGAGAAGGATTTGAACACAGAGTATGAATAGAAGACTCATCTTACTACATGAACATTAAAATGCAACAACCCACCTCCTGACCCTAGGCAAATACCCCTTTTGTCATTTGCAAACCACCTTATGTCATGGCAAAGAATAACCAAATACTACATCTATACAGTTACTTTTCATTACAAATAATAGTGATTTGCACAACAGGCAAGTAACTGTTGCAAAAAAGCAATATTTAACAGAATACAAAACAAGGCTGAACGCTGACCACTCCTCTCTCTTACATCACACCTTACAGGTTGTATACACTATGTGCAGTGAGCTGTGTTTTATTCTATACATCACTGACTATACTGAGCAAGGGGAGGTACTGTATTTACAATATGGCATACAGCAGGAGTCAGGCTTGCCCAGTTTGTATAACTTCCATGGATTGTTTCAAGACAGCATATGATCAAAGTTCTCTCTCTCTCTCTCTCTCTCCTGTCAGAAATCCTGATATTTTTAAGGTTTCAGAGTAACAGCCGTGTTAGTCTGTATTCGCAAAAAGGAGTACTTGTGGCACCTTAGAGACTAACCAATTTATTTGAGCATAAGCTTTCATGAGCTCCAGCTCACTTCATCGGATGCATACTGTGGAAAGTGTAGAAGATCTTTTTATACACACAAAGCATGAAAAAATACCTCCTCCCACCCCACTCTCTGCTGGTAATAGCTTATCTAAAGTGACCACTTTCCTTACAATGTGTATGATAATCAAGGTGGGCCATTTCCAGCACAAATCCAGGGTTTAACAAGAACGTCTGGGAGGGGGGGTAGGAAAAAACAAGGAGAAATAGGTTACCTTGCATAATGACTTAGCCACTCCCAGTCTCTATTCAAGCCTAAGTTAATTGTATCCAATTTGCAAATGAATTCCAAATCAACAGTTTCTCGCTGGAGTCTGGATTTGAAGTTTTTTTGTTGTAATATAGCAACTTTCATGTCTAATCGCGTGACCAGAGAGATTGAAGTGTTCTCCGACTGGTTTATGAATGTTATAATTCTTGACATCTGATTTGTGTCCATTTATTCTTTTACGTAGAGACTGTCCAGTTTGACCAATGTACATGGCAGAGAGGCATTGCTGGCACATGATGGCATATATCACATTGGTGGATGTGCAGGTGAACGAGCCTCTGATAGTGTGGCTGATGTTATTAGGCCCTGTGATGGTGTCCCCTGAATAGATATGTGGGCACAGTTGGCAATGGGCTTTGTTGCAAGGATAGGTTCCTGGGATATTTTTAAGTATGAGCTACGGCAGTAATGATTCATAGAAATCTGTTGCTTTGGTGCTTGACTTCTAAAGCTCCAGTAAGACCAAAGCGAAATGTCTAAAGTGTTGCAGCTTTTTGATCAGGAGCCTAGAAAACTTTTGCAGTATTAATCATTTTGTGGCATTAAAAAAAGGGAGCGGGTGGTGAGCTTTGTGAAAGAAACTGAAGCTTAAGTAACTTAATTTCAAATGGAACGTATGCTTTTATTAACACTTAATTATATTTTAATGGTATTTAAATTAATCTTTACCTTGCACTGTAATTATGTTTGTTTTTCCCTTAGGAATATCTGATATGGCATTTAACTGTATTGTCTCAAAGATAAATGATGATTTGTCTCTTTACTTGTAATGTTGTTATATGCATATCAAGGGACCGTCCTCTTGGAAATGAGGCACCTATCCCAGGTTCTCAGAACCAGCACTGACCCCCAAGCTATCCCAGTTACTTAAACACACCCCGCTCCTAGAACACCACCCAAAAGGGGTGAAGTTTCAGGTGACAGTTTAACTCTCTCAGGGGCCTGCAGCAATTATGATCACACACCATGCACAGTCTAACACCTTTATGCTTTTCTTTACTTAATCATACAAAGCACAGAAAAGTACCGATCATACAAAACAAATGCATGTCCCTGCTTCAGTTTCCTCACTACCCTAGGCCAATGGTCCCCGACCTTTCTGTGGGACTAGCATATTCCTATTTCCAGAAGACTGTGGTGGGCACCAGACACCATGCCACCAAAAAGTGGCAACGGCAAGAAGCGTTGCCACCGAAATGCCGCTGAGAAAAGGCAACACTTCTCGGCGGCGGCATTTCGGCGGTGCGGTGTCCTGCGGGCGCACACAACTGTCCCACCGGGCGCGATTGCACCCGCGGGCACCGCGTTGGGGACCCCTGCCCTAGGCCATTCTTTGGGTGGTCCAGAGTCCCTGGGGCCATCTGAACTCAGGAAAGCAGGCAGGGACTCCTGGCCCCATGCAGTTTCTATATGCTATGTGACCTCTCCCTCCTGGTGCCCCTTACCCAGCTTTGTGACCTTCAGGGCCGGCTCTAGGATTTTTGCCGCCCCAAGCAAAAAATTTGCCGCCCCCAAGCTCCAAGAGCGCAACTGCCCAAGCCAAAAAAAAAAAAGGAAGACCGGAATGCTGCCCCTGCACGTGCTTGCTTGGCTGGTGCCTAGAGCCAGTCCTAGTGACCTTGCACTCTCTCCTGCACTGTGTTTCCTCTTCCCATATGACCCCTGTTCCTCTGTGTTCTTTATTTTAAACCCCTCCTGGTCACCTGGCCTCCTTTGTTCTATATCTGGTAAATTTCCACTGCTCCTACCTTACCCCCTCCTTTCACACAGGGGAAGAGAGATAACTTAGGGCCTATCTGCACGGCAAGTATAACTGTGCACTAACAGGTGTTGTCTATCATTACTCTGGCTAGGCATTTGCACCATGATCAGTTTGGAGCATCTGTGTTCTAATATGGGTATGCTGTTGTTGCAGTGGACAGGACAAATATTCCCTAATGTGATTAGAAAACTCTTTTGTCTCCTCCCATACTTGCAGTTTAAAAAATTGTTAGAGCACAACAGTGCCAAAGCATTGCAGACAAGCATGGTAGTATATGACTATTTTTGTACTGTAACTGGGCCAGGGGTGAAATTAACTGAGGACACTTACTGGTACGGGCTGGGGGGGCGCCTCTGGCCCCCAGAAGGGGCGGGGCCTCGAGCAGAAGGGGCGGGGCTAGGGTCAGCATCCTCCAGCCAGCCCTTCCTTGCTGTATGGCCCTTGCCGCCCGGGGCCCCAGATGCCACTGCTGCGGTAGTGACAGCGGCATCCAGAGCCCCGGGCCCTTTTAAATCGCCGGCCCCAGGACAGCTGCTCCCTTTGCCCCCACCAGGTCCATTGGCGGTGTGGGGGGTGGCTAAAGGGCCAGGGACGTTAAAGCGCTACAGGGTCCTTTGCCGTGGCAGCGCATTAATGTCCCTGCTCCTTTTGCCTCCCCTGAGGGAGCCCCACATGAGAATATCCCACAGCCCCGTGTTAGGGCACTCAGGTGGCAGATCCCTTTTCAAAGTCCTTCTCCCCACCCAGGTGGAGGGGGACTTGAACTGGGGGTCTCCTACATCCCAGCTGAGTACCCTAACTATTGGGCCAAAAGTGATGAGGGAGTTCAGCCTCTTCCTCCCTCCATTTTGTGCAAGCTTGCCTATAAGGGCCTGGTTCAGTAAGTGAGCTATGAGCACACTTATGGGATCAGGCCTGTAGGCAAAGGAACGCCTACTTTCCCCTAGTTTGTGCATCGCTTTGGGGCCTAGGCATTCGGACACCTAGCATGGAGCTGCAGTGCAGATATGCAGAGGCAGAAACATAGGCACAGAGGGAACGTTTACTGCAAAAATGTAGATGCCAATGTTTTTGTGAATCCCAGTCGAGCCTGATTCTGGGATTTAGGTACCTAAAGTGGCAGTTCGGCACCTAAATCCTCTTGTGGATCTAGCCCACAATATCAAAATGGCTTGAAGCCAGACTCTAAATTAATCATGCAGTTTTGGGCATCCAACTATTTGCATGCCCTCGAATAGATTTCTACCCTAAAATTTAATGAGCCATTTCACAATGTGATGTGCATGCACAAATGGTAGTCTTTGAGGTTTTCAAGACACACATACACCACTCCACTCCCAGTGTCCTAGAACCTGACCCACTAAGGAACAGATTGATTACCCTTTGTGAAACAGCATGGCCAGAAGGCAGCAGGAGAGTGATACAGGAGAGAGATGTAAATCCCAGGATGAGGAGAAGCCTTATTCCCTGTAGAGGGAAGAAGGGTTTCTATAGATTAATTAAAAGCACCTGAAGCCAGTTGGAGCACCTGAAGCTAGTCACCTGATTAAAAAATCCCTGCTTCAATCAGGCAGGGGAAGGAGTTAGAGCAAAGGAGAGTTTGGAGAAGTGCTGTGGCTGGCTAGAAGACCAAGACCCTAGGTAAAGAGACACCCGGCTTGTGCAGAGAGAGAGGGGCAGGAAGTCCCACAAGCTGAAGAGCAGGAGAGGGAAGTAGCCCAAGGGAAGGAAGCACTAGTTCAAGTGGTTTACCACTATCCCTAGGGCCCCTGGGCTGGGACCCTCCCTCTCCCCTACCCTTCTCTGGGTTACAAGTGGGACAGTAAATATGCTAGTTCAGGGGCAGGAAACTGTGCCTGAACACCCACCCCCCACAAGAAGAGGAAATGCGGGACCCATCATAATCGTACTGGCAATTTGCCACACATTTTATAAGTAACCCAGTAACACCACCAGTGTGGAAAACTACACTTAAAATAAGAGCAATTACTTCCATTCTTTGGAGAGTGCCATTTTAAAAGAAAGCCAGCCTACTGTCCTTTATCTGCAAACATTCATGTAAAATAGCTCTCACCTTTAAAACTTGTTAGGCTTCAGCCTTCAAGTAAAAAGACAGGTGTTTAACCACCACTGCAGGCTTCCCTTTAGTAACGATGTGGGGTGTGGACTCCATCTGTAGTAGAAAACTCATTGTTCATATTTGACTACCAAGTCTATGGTAATTATGTAGAGCAAATGTGATTCTTAACCCAGTCAACTTCTTTAACCTAGTCAGCTTTGGGACTTTCTGACACTGGTAGACATAAAATGTGGTACAGGAAAATGTTTTCCAAGAATAATTCAGATCTGTCTACTAATTTCTAAATAAGTATTTGGGATTTATGTTGAAGGTAGAAAAACAGTCAAAAATCATTGTAAGACTTATTTTCTTTATTCATCGCTTTATTATTCCTGAGCTGCTCCATACATAGTTGGGCTATGTAATGCAGGGCATGTTAACATGATTTCTACTGTCTGATTGAAGTGAGAGAGAAACAGTACAAATGAAGAAAATTTTCAGATTTAACTAAAAGCCACTTACCAACCCAAAAGTGTACTCCAGGTCCCATTGACTTGAAAGCAAGATGGTTTGGGCCATGTCATAAATGTAAAGGGAAGGGTAAACCCCTTTAAAATCCCTCCTGGCCAGAGGAAAAATCCTCTCACCTGTAAAGGGTTAAGACGCTAAAGGTACCCTCATTGGCACCTGACCAAAATGACCAATGAGGAGACAAGATACTTTCAAAAGCTGGGAGGAGGGAGAGAAACAAAGGGTTTGTGTGTCTCTGTATGCTGTTTTTGCCAGGGACAGAACAGGAATGGAGTCTTAGAACTTTTAGTAAGTAATCTAGCTAGGTATGCGTTAGATTATGATTTCTTTAAATGGCTGAGAAAAGAATTGTGCTGAATAGAATGATTATTTCTGTCTGTGTGTCTTTTTTGTAACTTAAGGTTTTGCCTAGAGGGATTCTCTATGTTTTGAATCTAATTACCCTGTAAGGTACCGACCATCCTGATTTTACAGGGGTGATTCCTTTACTCCTATTTCATAGAATCATAGAATATAAGGGTTGGAAGGGACCCCAGAAGGTCATCTAGTCCAACCCCCTGCTCGAAGCAGGACCAATTCCCAGTTAAATCATCCCAGCCAGGGCTTTGTCAAGCCTGACCTTAAAAACCTCTAAGGAAGGAGATTCTACCACCTCCCTAGGTAACACATTCCAGTGTTTCACCACCCTCTTAGTGAAAAAGTTTTTCCTAATATCCAATCTAAACCTCCCCCACTGCAACTTGAGACCATTACTCCTCGTTCTGTCATCTGCTACCATTGAGAACAGTCTAGAGCCATCCTCTTTGGAACCCCCTTTCAGGTAGTTGAAAGCAGCTATCAAATCCCCCCTCATTCTTCTCTTCTGCAGACTAAACAATCCCAGCTCCCTCAGCCTCTCCTCATAACTCATGTGTTCCAGACCCCTAATCATTTTTGTTGCCCTTCGCTGGACTCTCTCCAATTTATCCACATCCTTCTTGAAGTGTGGGGCCCAAAACTGGACACAGTACTCCAGATGAGACCTCACCAATGTCGAATAGAGGGGAACGATCACGTCCCTCGATCTGCTCGCTATGCCCCTACTTATACATCCCAAAATGCCATTGGCCTTCTTGGCAACAAGGGCACACTGCTGACTCATATCCAGCTTCTCGTCCACTGTCACCCCTAGGTCCTTTTCCGCAGAACTGCTGCCTAGCCATTCGGTCCCTAGTCTGTAGCTGTGCATTGGGTTCTTCCGTCCTAAGTGCAGGACCCTGCACTTATCCTTATTGAACCTCATCAGATTTCTTTCGGCCCAATCCTCCAATTTGTCTAGGTCCTTCTGTATCCTATCCCTCCCCTCCAGCGTATCTACCACTCCTCCCAGTTTAGTATCATCCGCAAATTTGCTGAGAGTGCAATCCACACC